CTAGCTAGCTGCACAGCTAGCTAGCTGGAGCTAGCTAGCTGCACAGCTAGCTAGCTGGAGCTAGCTAGCTGCGGCTAGCTGATTTTGGGGCGCCGCTGCAGCAAGGCAGCTCTTTGGCTACTAATGGCTACTGGCTCTGTTTTTAATTTGCTTTTGTGTCTTTTGTGTATTTTTTGCAAACCGAAATAAATAAATAAAAGGAAATAAATAAACAGAAATAAATAAGAAGAAATAAATATATAAATAAAAAGAAATAAATGAATTAAGAGAAATAAATAAACCAAATTGGCGATGAAGAAGTCAGAAGAAATGGGCAGAGATAGAAAGCTTGAAAAGAGGCCCCCAGCCTCTAAACCCAAACAGACGGGAACATCTGCCTTAGGGTTTAGGGTTTAGGGTTTGGGGTTTAGGGTTTAGAATTGCCCTGAAGATATCTTTTTAAACAACTTCTTCCGCAGACGCAATGCCTCTCTGTTGGCTCTTTCCTTTTCTCTTATTTGCCTCTCGCTGCGCTCCCCGTCCACACGGCCTGCAGCACACAAACCCTAAACCCTAAACCCTAAACCCTAAACCTTAAACCCTAAACCCGAACGCCAAACCCTACAACACAAGCCTTATACATTAAGTAGCAGCACTTCGCACGCTTAGCCGCGTACGCTACACGCTGAGCTCTACAGCAGCCCATGCCCTCAAACCCTAAACCCTAAACCCTAAACCCTAAACCCTCGACGCTGACCAACTGCCTCTAGCGTTCGCCTGAAAGTCTCTGCCGCCTTTTTCGCCCTTTTAATTCCGTAGGCAGCTCTAAACCACCGGATGCGGTGTACGTTATCCTCTTGCCATTGAACAGCAAACACGTGCTGCCTGCAGCAGCAGCAGCAGCAGCAGCAGCAGCAAACAGCAGCAGCAAAAGCAGCAGCAGCAAACAGCAGCATGCACACACAACGCTCACGGCCAAGTAATCAGCTCAGCTCGCACTCCTCCCACACCTAAGGCCTCCACTGGTGCTGCCACTACCGCTGATGCAGCAGCAGCAGCGGCTGCTGCTGCTGCCACTACCCCTACTGCTGCTGCTGCTGCTGCTGCCACTACCCCTACTGCTGCTGCTGCTGCTGCTGCTACCCCTTCCACTACCACCACTACTGCTGCTGCTGCTGCTACATCTCTTGCTGCCGCTGCTGCAGCTACCACCCCTCCTGCTGCTACCACAACAACCCGCCCGCTGCCGCTGCTGCTGCTGCTGCCGCTGCTGCTGCTGCTCCTGCTGCTGCACCTTTTGAAGTAGTTGACGCCTTTCGCGCTGCTGCAGGCGAGGAAGTGCGTGTCTTGGGACTGAGTGTTGTATTTGCGGCGCCGCCAAGAGTTCCATTTGCTGCTGAAGCTCCAGGGGCCGTCGCTCCCCACAAACACCCCCTCCCGCCCCAGGTCCATTCGCTGCACGCACACGCGCTGCTGCTGCTGCTGCTGCTGCTGCTGCGGCTGTGGGTGTGGGGTGAGGGGCTGCTGGGGGGCTGCTGCAGCTGCTGCAGCTGCTGCAGCTAGTGGAGACGCAAGTGGGACCGACAGGGCTACCGGTGTGTCTAGCGCTGCTGCTGCTGCTGCTGCTGCTGC